GCGTTTCTATCTCTGGAACCCGACCCCGCACGTCGTCTCCAAACCCAGCAGATCCCTGCAGTGCGCTCCCGCACCTCTCCTCCCAGGGGAAGAAGGTGAGTCTCCCCGGATCTGCCGCTTGTTGGCTCCCTGCTGGAGGAGCAGTGGCCCGACTATGCCACGGATCACGGTTTATGGCAACCCCGAGCTGAGACCCCACGTTTCGGCTCTGTCTCTGCAGCCGGCTTCCCCGCTCCGACACCTGGGAGCTCTCCTGCACTCAGACATCCCCGGTCTTTCTGTGACCCCGAGGGTCCTGAGACCACACTGTTCCACGAGGGTTCCACCCCCCACTTAGCCACCAGAGTGACGTCCCTCAGTGGATCCGACTTCTAAAAGTTCCGATTTTGTGCTCCGAGGCTCTATCACTTGCCAGAAGTAGCCGACAGACGCCCCTCTCCCGCCCTCTATCCTCCTGAATATTGCCTCGGATTCACTTCTCCACACGTCCTGCCTTCCAGAAAGTGGTCGCTTTTCTGTTCAGAGACTTGTTGCTATTCTTTTCTTCGATCTCCTGTTGAGTTCGTAGGTGTTCAGAATGGTTTGATCCCTATCCAGCTGAATTCCTGAGACCAGATGAAATTCAGGTCTCCTACTCCTCCGCCACCTTGCTCCGCCCCAGTCTGCTAATTTTCAATATATTCAGTAATACATTTTTGAAAACTTCTATTTTTTATACAAACTTACCCTTTATCCACATGCATATGAAATGTTTGAGAATGAGTGTTATCTACTAGAAAAAAGAAGAAAGACATGCCTGATAAATATAGCAAAGTAAGGTATTGTATGAGAAGTTTATTTGTGTAAATAATATCAGTATGTGCTAGTATTTATTGAATCCTAAACTTGGTGAGGCACTGTACTCTGCACTTTGCATGCATTAGCTCTTTAACTTCTCACAACAACTCCATAAGATGAGTAGCATTCTATCCATTTTACAGCTTGAGTAACTTGCCTAAGTCACAGGACTGGTAAGTGGCCAAGTCAGGATTCAAACCCAGTCAGTCTGGCTGCAAAGGCCAGTATCATAAGTAATAGGGTACTCCATTCTCCCACATGAAATGTTCTAAATAGATTTTGTCATGAGAAATGGATGGAAGCAGAGGGCCAGAATGGGGTGGAGAGTGTGTTGGGTGAATGGGAGGTGGGAAGCCATCATTCAGAGGACATTCAGATCAAGTGTTCCAATAGGAGAGCATAAAGAAACCAGGAGCCAAATATCCTCTGGAGAAGTAGGGGGAAGTAAGGCATTCTCTAAACTGTTGCTGAGTTAGGGTAAGTTCACTGAGGAAGATAATTCAGAACTATGAGAAAGTAGCTGGGGAGCACAAAGGAGAGATATCTTTGGAAATAAAAGCCCAAATTTGTAAAACTGAAAAGCTACAAACATTGTACAAGAAATGTAATAGAACTCTGAGCAGAAGAAAAAATAATAATTTCCTCAAACTAGAGAAATTGCAAAATATTAAGAATCGGATGAAATTTTACTTATTCAGAGTTTATGTGCCTTTTACAAATCACATTACAAAAATTTCAACAAATATTTATTTGGTGCCTACACTGGCTGCCAGAAAGACAAAAGAAAAAAGAAAAAAAAAATTCCATCATCAAGGAGGCTTCACGTTATTAAGATATAGAGAACCACAGCCTCCTATATAACCATTATTTCAAAACAGCACTGAAAATGGTAAATATAAAATTATTTGTAATATCCTTAAAAGATAGATGATTTAAAGTAGAAATGATACAATACACAGTGGGGTTTATAACATGCAGTGAGTTAGTACAAAGGCTGGGGGAGGGGAATATAGCATATGGGAAGTGGCATAGTACTTGACGGCTGACATGAAAAGTTAAAGATGTATATAATACAAGGCCCAAAGCAACCTCTAAAAACGCATACACAATTTAAAACCAGAGATCATCAGTTTTAGATTAAAAAGCAAGCTCTGACTATATGCTGCCTGAGAGAAACACATTTTAAACAGAACAACAACAACAAAAAGTTAAAAGTGAAAGGTCTGAAAAACATATGCCCTTCTGTAATTAAGTGAGAGCCGGCATGGTACAGTAACAACAGAAAAAGTAGATTTCAGAGCAAGAATATTAACAGCAATAAAGAAGGTCGTTTCATAATAAGAAAAGTGTCAAGTCATCAAGAAGACAAAAGTCCTAAATGTTTATATATCCATAACAGAGATTCAAAATGCATGAAGCAAAAACATAGAACCACAAAAGAATTGACAATTCCGCAATTATAGTCAGAGATTTTAACACCCATCTTTAATAACTGGTAGAACAAGTACACAGAAAATCAGTAAAGATACAGATCTGTGAACAACACTACCTGACAGTTTAACCTAACTGACATTTATAGAATACTTCACCTGCAGCAGCAGAATACACATTTTTTTGCATGCACATGGAAATTTTACCAAGATAGACCATATCTGGGTCATACAAGTTTCAATATTTTCATATGGTTTAAATCATAAAAACAATGTTTTCTGGCCACAATAAAATTGGGTTAGTAACCAGTAACAGAAAAAACATCTGGAAAAGCCCTAAATATTTGGAAACTAAATAACTTCCATTATACTTCCAAATAGCTCACAGATCAAGGAAGAAATGTAAAAAAAAAAAAGTAATTATAAATTATTTTGAACTAAGTAAAAATGAAAACACAACACACCAAAATTTGTGGGATGGTAATAAATCAAGAATTAGAGGGAAAGTTATAATCCAAAATATCTCTATTAGAAAATAAGAGGGGTTCATGGGTGGCTCAGTCTGTTAAGCGTCTGACTTCAGCTCAGGTCATGATCTCAGAGTTGTAGGATCTAGCCCCATGTCCAGCTCCACGTCTAGCAGGGAGTCTGCTTCCTCTCTCTCTCTGCCCCTCCCCCCTGCTTGGGCACTCTCTCTCTGAAATAAAGAAACAAATCTTTAAGAAAAAGAAAAGGAAAGGAAAGAAGGTCCCAAATCAATGACCTGAAACAGTACAAAAAGAAGAGTTAATGTTGGTTTGAAAACTGACCCCTACACACAGAGGGCAAGGAGAGATGGAAGAAAGAGGCAGGCCACTCCAGATTCATAGGTGGCAGGTTTAATAAGCAAGAGAACTTACGTAAGAGGGTGGCCGCAAGACAAGTAGATCTTTGTGCCTGCCTGCCAGAATCTTAAGAGTTTATACAGAGGCCTTAACTGGGTTCAATTACATATACCATCTAAATGGTCTCAACAACACATTACTCTTTCAAATGCTGCTCCTTGAAAATGGCTCCCAGTGTGGGAACTGTGTGCAGAAGGTACATTTCAAGGACAAGAGGAGGGGTGAGGAGCCTCTGCTTGCCTGGATCCCACTCACAAGTCAACTTGTGGGCACATCTTCTTGATGACCTCCTCCAACAGCAAATTAAACCCAAAGTAAGAAGAAGAAAGGCAATAATAAAGATCAGAGTATAGGTCAATAAAATAAACAGAAATCAATATAGAAACAATAAAACCAACAGCTGGTTCTTTGAGAAGATCAATAAAATAAACTTCTAGCCAGATAGCCAGACTGATCTCAAAAAAGAAAAGATGACACAACTTACCCAGATGAGCAATGAAAAAAGTAAAACAACTGAAGATTCAAGGTATCAAAAGTTTAGGGGTGCCAGGGTGGCACAGTCAGTGAAGAGTCCGACTCTTGATCTTGGCTCAGGTCTTCATCTCAGGATTGTGAGTTTAAGACCCATGTTGGGCTCCACGCCCTATTAAAAGTTGATTAATGAAATATTACAAATAAATTTAAGGCCAATCAATTTGACAACCTAGATGAAATAAGACAAATTCTTTGATACAACCAAAGCAAATTTAAGAATACGTACATAGCCCAAATAGTATAAATATGTATCTGTATGTGTGTGTGTGTATTGAGTGTGTTAGTTAAAAGCTATCCTTCAAAGAAAACTCCAGGGCCAGATAGCTTTGCTGTGAATTGTACCAAACATTGAGAAAGAAATAATACCAATTCTACACACTCTGAGAAGACTGAAGAAGAGCAATTCTATCCAATTCATTTTACAATGCCAACATCACCCTAATACTAAAACAAGGCCAGAATTATAAAAGAGAATTATAGACTAATATCCCTCATGAGGGGTGCCTGGGTGACTCAGTCGTTAGATGTCTTCTTTTGGCTCAGGTCATGATCCCAGGGTCCTGGGATCGAGCCCCAAATCGGGCTCCCTGCTCAGCGGGAAGCCTGCTTCTCCCTCTCCCGCTCCCCCTGCTTGTGTTCCCTCTCTCGCTGTCTCTCTCTCTGTCAAATAAATAAGATCTTTTAAAAAAATAAAAAAATAATATCCCTCATGAATACACATACAAAAACTCCTAACATTATTTTAGCAAATAGAATGCGGCAAGATGTAAAAAAGACAATGTATCACAACCAAGTGAAATTTGTAACAGGTATGCAAAGCTACTTTTACATTTGAAAACCAATCAATAGATTTCATTATATTGCCTAAAAAATTTTAAAAATTAATCAGAAACATATGGAAAGAATATTTGACAAAATCCAAAATCTCCTGATTAAAACCCTTAGCAAACATTAAGTTTTTAAATGTGAACAATTTGGTCATACAGCGTAAGTATGAAGAGATGTGTGCAGTTATAAACACCAAACCCAGTAGAGTCATACCTCTGGACTACTGATGAGAGGGAAAATGAATTCAAGAAGGAAATATGAAGAAGGGTATGATGGAGGAGATTCAACTGTATCTGCAATGTTTTATTAAAAATATAAACATCTGAGCAAAGCTAAGAAAATAATAAAATTTATTGTAACTTGGTGGGCTATACTTAAATATTTGTTGTATTCTTTCTCCACTGTGGTGCTTTAAAGTAAATGATAGTATATAAATAAATTGAATACTAAGCACCCATTAAAATGACATTTATAATTATATAATGGTGTGAAAATGTTTATAATGAGTAATATTACTTTAATGTAAGACAAAATTACATATAGGAAGATAGCAATTTTGTAAATGTGTATTTGTATATATGCATAATATTCTGCCATGTAAGTTTATCACAATCTGTTTATTTACTATCCTACTGGTTGAACATCAATGCCATTTATGTTGTTTCGAAATTACAAACAATGCTATAATGAATATTGTTGTATATCTCCTGTACATATTTTCTTGTGTCTGTTGGATAGTGGCACTTGTTTTATTTCTCACAATGACTTGTTGAAAGAAACATTAATCTCTACTGTTTCATGCTTGGTCCTCTTTCTTGGGAGTGTATGAGTTGTGATCAATAAGCAATAACACACTTTTTTTTAAAAATGTGTTTTTATAAGATACTTTTAGCAAAACTGTCAGAACTTGAATATAAAAATGAGTATTTACATCTTAGGAGACTATGTGCTAATTCTAATGTACTACTCCAGTAGTATTTTTTTTTTTTAACAATTCTGCTTTTGGAATTGCTTTTGGAACATCTATCATGGCAAAATTTCATTGTCTGAGGCTGAATTTGGCTTATAAAGATAGCAACTAAAAGTTGTTTAGATAGAAATCTAATGAATTTTGTGGACTGTATGTTAAAGAAGTTAATACCATTTGGTTCAAAATAGAGGTATGATTAAAAATAAACTATTTTCTTTGTGACTACACCTGGCTTTTTTTTTTTTTTAGATTTTATTTTTATTTATTTGACAGAGAGAGAGAGACAGCGAGAGAGGGAACACAAGCAGGGGGAGTGGGAGAGGGAGAAGCAGGCTCCTGGCTGAGCAGGGAGCCTGATGCGGGGCTTGGTCCCAGGACCCTGAGATCATGACCTGAGCCGAAGGCAGACGCTTAACGACTGAGCCACCCAGGCGCCCACTACACTTGGCTTTGAGAGTAACTGACATTTTTTTCACAGCAGCTGGTAGAGACCCAGCCATCAAATTATCCCTAGGTTATTAAAGCCCTGTGTTTTGGCATTGTCATTCCTCTTGGTATTAGCATAAAGTCATACAGATGGGGACAGTGGTATACAAGGAAGGGGTTAGCCTGTGGATTGATATAAATTATTTAACTCTACTAGTCCTCGTGTAAAATGGAAATAATGCCAACCAGGTCAAAATGCTGTGAGATTAAATGAGCGGATATTTTTAAATGCTTTGTCCCAACACTTTTCACATGTTGATATGCATAAGAATCTCCTCATGTGTCATTATGATGAAGTTTCTGATGGACTACCCCTGGCACTGGAAGGCTTTAGCCCAGGTCGGTAAGTCGGTAACTCAATAAGGGCTAAATTTCCTTCCTTCCCATAAGCCATGTCTCCATTTTTGTTGCTTTAGGGGTTTGGATTTTGGTCAAACAACTGTAACTATTAATACTACTGCATGAAAGATCCTGGGCATTATCACAAAGAACATGACTCAGGATGTGCATACTAGAAATCAGATGAGCCCCCATGTTTATGGGCTTAATATATTCACTCAATAATAAAAGCGACCTAGGTTCCTATTGCCCGAACTTCCATCCCAAAGGGTGGGTAGAAAGGCATCTGGGGCTTAAGTGGAAACCAAAGTCTCATGGTGCAGTGGTTTCCAAAAGCGAATGTCCCATGTGTCGCTTCCATGAGAGGGGGCAAAGAAAACAAACTGGAACCAAAAGAACTGAAACCAGGCAAAAATAGGCTTTCAGGGTCAGGTGTTTTCATCTGCAAATATCTCTTGAGCCAACAGTGAAAATAGAGGGAGTCTTCACTGAAATACCTACAGGGGAGTACACAGGTAGAGAGGAAGTTTTGTTATGAAATTTATTTTATGGGCAGTTATAATGAAAATGTATCTTTATCATTCCAAGTCAATAATGATATTCAGCAGTTGTCTTTGTCCTCCCTTCACTAAGGATTGCTGCTGGCTATTAATCTTTTCAAACATAATGAAAGATACAACCAGTCTAGGTATATTGAAATAAAATTAAATCCTACTCAGCTCTAAATATTGTTTCTGTTTGAGGTGACCTGATGATGTCTGGCTAACAAGCGCTGGACACACACAATAGTCACTTTGTTTCTTTATACCCAAACAGATAGCATCACCTCACACTGCCAAGCAGCTACTCAAGAACAATCAAGAAACAGATACATTCTCGGGGCACCTGGGTGGCTCAGTCGGTTGAGCGGCTGCCTTCGGCTCGGGTCGTGATCCCGGAGTCCTGGGATCGAGCCCCGCATCGGGCTCCCTGCTCAGTGGAGAGCCTGCTTCTCCCTCTCCCTCTGCCTGCCTCTCTGCCTACTTGTGCTTTCTCTCTCTCTCTGTCAAATAAATAAATAAAATCTTAAAAAAAAAAAAAAAAGAAACAGATACATTCTCAGTGGTGATTTAGGGAGTCCTTGCAAGTAGGCTTTTAGCAATCCTTGACAAGGCACCTTCATCATATCTCATAAAGCTTGAAAAACACTCCATCATCTTTTAAGATCCTTAGTACTATCTCTCACATCATGTTATCTCAAATCAATCATTCCACATCCTGGAAACAGTTTCTCCATGAGGCTTTGAAGTAGTTTTGATCCAGTAGTAGTATTTTTACTGTTATATAGACTGAAAATGCAGACCCTCCAAACTCTTGAACACTTTAAGTTGCTTTCAGATAATTCAAGCAACAACACAAAACAAAAATAAATGCAGATACACACACACTTAAACTTTCTGCCTTTGCACTTGGCTCACTTAGATAATAGAAACAAAATAAGACTATCTTTTTCCCTGCTAATTCCTTCAGTGCCTATTCATCATCACTCTATTTCAGATTGCCCACTATAGATCCGCTGTGTGCTTTGTTTTTAACTCCCCTTCTATTAAATACATTCTAAGTATACTGAGTTATTTTATTTTATTTATTTTTTAAAGATTTGATTTATTTATTTGACAGAGAGAGCGATAGCGAGAGCAGGAACACAAGCAGGGGGAGTGGGAGAGGGAGAAGCCCGCCTCCCGCCGAACAGGGAGCCCGATGTGGGACTCGATCCCAGAACCCTGGGATCATGACCTGAGCTGAAGGCAGACGCTTAACGACTGAGCCACCCAGGCACCCCTGAGTTATTTTAAAGTATAGCCAAAGATGACTTCCTGTTAAATATATTATTAATAATACACTTCAGAACCATTAATTTTAAAGTCAACTAAAAGTCTGAGTTCTTCTATCTTTTGATATTTGCATAACTGAAATGTCACAACAATGACCAAAAAAAAGACTACTTTTGCTAGCCATCTAAGCAGCCTCATTATTTTATGAACCTACCACAGACATGAGCATGTATGCAAGTATTCTTTTTTTTGACATGTAACATTTTATTACTTTCAGTATACAACATGAAGATTCAATAATTGTATATACTGCAAAATGATCAGAAGTCTAATTAACATCCATCACTACACATATTTACAAATTTATCTTCTTATGATGAAAATGTTTAAGATCTATTTATTCTCTTAGCAATTTTCAAATATGCAAAACAGTATTATTAACTATAGTCACCATGCTGTGCATTATATCCCTGGGACTTATTTATTTTATAACTAGAAGTTTCTATCATATTTTTCTTAACCAGTCTTCCTTTAATGTTTATATAGTTAGTCATCAAATTTGCTAATAGGAAGCATGCTAAAATATTTCACTGTGCACTT